AAGTGCTGTTTTGGGACTCGTTTGACACGCATGTTGGTGAGCAGGAGGCCGCCTACGGCCAGAACCAACAAGCTGCCAAGCGAGCCGGAAAGGGCAAAACGCGTCATTTTCGTTTAGCTCTGCCTCTGCACAATCTGCTCCAGGGCGCTGAACAGGTCTCCGCAGGTGATTGGTCTTTCCGCATCAGTGAGGCAGCCGTCCAAGCGAGCGTACTTCTGAGCAAATACATGGATTTTGTGTTCGAGAAGCTCGACCTGCCGCGACTCAAAGCAAGGCAAGATTTGCCAGGTGGCCGTATGCCTTCGGCGGGGGATACGCCGCAAGCCTGGCAGCAAGTCACCTCTGTCGAGGCCTTGCTCCCTGACGCGGCCGCTGCACGACAAGTTCTGGAGGCGGCGCGTGCCATATGCGGCTCGCAGAAGCTGCCATGTATGCGGCCCTCTGATGCCACGGGGCTGCGTGGGATCAAGAACCCTACTGCCGCCGGCTGCTGCCAGTCAACTCGTCATGAAGACGTTTCGATTCCTGGCTCTACTGGGTTTGGGTTCGACGAGCGTCAGCATCAACCGCGGCGGAAGCAAGGTCCTCTACTTCACCAAGCAGACGACTGAGGCAGTTGCGGTTCGGTGCTTCGTGGAGTCCAAACGTCTGCTAGGGGAGGACGTAACCTACCACACGCTCCCCCGGGAGCAGGTGCTGGCTGCGCGCCTGACGTCGCAGTCGGATATCCTACTGCCAGATTTGACTGCCGAGGCCACGGTGCAGACGATCGCCGTGTTTCGTGCAGCGGTTCAGCTGCGCTTGGCTACCCTCCTTCCGGCGGCACAGTGATGTTGTGGGCAGCTGTGCCCGTCCAGTACCGTGGCGGTGCTTCTAGATCTCCCTACAGGCCTACAGTTCTTTTCTTCACTTTTGCTGCCTGCCACACGAGTGGGCGTGGATGTCTGGGATCTGAAACGTCGCTGCCCGGCCCGCTGCACCTAGCTGTATCGCGAAGCCAAAAAAAAAGGTCTACGGCCCGGCGCTTTAGGTAACTTTGTGAGTTCCTTGCCTGCTTGTCCGATCGTGCTTTGTCTGTCTGCGCCCATGTCATCGATCCTGGTGGCGGTACGTCGTTCGCATGTGCGGCGTTGCTGTCTTGCCGTTCAGATCGCGAGGCAGGCTCTCTTTTGTCTCACAGGCCGTCGTGTAGCCGTGTAGCCGTAGTTTACGTTGGTCTCTTCCGGCCGCCATGCCTCTGCCGCGCCGACCACCCTGGGCAGACGAAGCAGACTCGGAGCCGGAATCCCTGCCAAATGCCGCGCCGCCGTCCGAGCAATGCACGCCGGCGGTGCTGGAAGTGGGTGTGCTGGCATCTGACTCGGACGGGCCCGGTTGCGTGCAAGCCAGTGCAGCTGCAGGCTCCCACGGTCGCAGTACACTTGCCGCTGCACCGGTGCCACTGGAAGCCGCCTGGAATCCTGACGTGCTAGCTGGGCAGGAAACATTGTCGCCCGTTATGCCTCCTGCCTCCTCGGTCGCGCCGGCATCTGGCGTGCGCTCCTTTCGTGCTCTCAGCAGCGCAGACGTCGAGGTCGAGGCCTTTGTCCGCACCATGCTCATGTCCGCACGCCGCGGGCCCGGGCTCCTTGCCGTTCTGCGAGAGTGGCAAGCCCGGGTGCGTGGCTTGTGTTTGAGGAGCGACGTGCAGGTGCCATGTCTGACCTGGCAAGCCTTGATCTTCGACGTCGACATCGCGGAGGACGGCATGAGGTTGGGCATCCGTCGGCATCGTGTGTGAGGTTTTTGCTCCATAGCCGTTGGAGCAAGGACTCCTCCGCGCAAGCTCGGACAGCTATATTATCGGCTGTGTACAGCAATTGTACATTGTGCCTAGCCTAGTCGTGCGCACGCAGTGCGGCCGTGCATACCGCCGGCTCCTGCAGCGCTTTTCCCAGTTCTCTAACTCTTGCTCGCGCACAGTCTGCTGCATGAAGAGAAATTGCATGACTTGCCCGGGGTGTATGCCATGTTCAGTTCTTGGCTGCGTTGAGCTGCGGACGAGCTGCGACAGACTCTGTATCCCAGCCTCCATTTTCAACCTTGCACATGAATCACGCCTACAAGCAGCCCGGACGTAGTAGCAGTAGCAGTAGTAATAGTAATAGTAGTAGTAGTAGTAGTAGTAGTAGTAGTAGTAGTAGTAGTAGTAGTAGTAGTAGTAGTAGTAGTAGTAGTAGCAGAAGTAGTAGTACTAGTCGTTGTAGTCGTAGTCGTAGTCGTAGTCGTAGTCGTAGTAGTAGTAGTAGTAGTAGTAGTAGTAGTAGTAGTAGTAGTAGTAGTAGTAGCAGTAGCAGTAGCAGTATCAGTAGCAGTAGTAGTAGTACTAGTAGTAGTAGTAGTAGTAGTAGTAGTAGTAGTAGTAGTAGTAGTAGTAGTAGTAGTAGTAGTAGTACTACTAGTACTTGTACTTGCCATGTTGAGTTCTTGGCCGCCTTTGTCTTTTTTTGTTGAGCTGCGAACGAGCTGCGACAGACGCTGCATCTCAGCCTCCATTTTCAAATTTGCAGATAAATCACTAGTGGTTAGAGTAGTAGTAGTTTGAGCGAACAACAATCTCCCGCCTTCGTTGTTGTTCCCTCCCTCTTGAAAGAACAACAACCCCGCCTCCGCTTGTTGTTCCCCGCATTCTTGAGAAAACAACACCCCCCCCGGGTTGTCGTTCTTACCCTTCCCTTCCCCTTTTGCAAACCTGCCAAATGATTCCTGCTCAGTTGTGTTTCCTTGCTTTTCAACCCCTGAAGTGTTTGCATGTGGCTCTTTCCTTCTTGTGTTGGCGAACACTTTTTTTTCCTGGCGGCTCGAAACAAGGGGGGGTTGAGCCTAAGACAAGCGGGGGGGTTGGGGGGGGCGCAGCCCCCCCCATTTGCAAGCCTTCCATCGTCATGATAAACTGTACTTGCTTGCTTTAGCCCCCTAATGCGTTTGCATGTGGCTCTGTCCTTCTTGTGTTTTGGCGAACACGCTCCTACAACCCTGTTGTTGTCCTTCTTCGAACTTGACCCCCTCCTCCATATTGGAATATAACCCCCCCCCTCCATACTGCTGGACTATGAATCTTCCCCCTCCACACTCATGGAGTATGAACCCCCCCCTCCTGGACCATGAACCCCCCCTCTTAATACTCCTGGAGTATGCCCCTTGAATGATCCTGGATTACGAACCTCCCCCCCCCCCCCCAAATCCTCCTGGAGTATGAACCCCCCCCCCCTCATATTCTTTCCCCCCCCCCTCCCCGCCTCTGGGGGGGGGGGGGGGTTCAACACTCCGGAAGAACTAACCCCCCCCACCCGTGTCCTAGCGGCGCGGTCTCTACTATCCATGAACCCCAAACCCTATCCCTAAGGAACCCCTAGAGGAACCCTTAAAGGAGCCTCCAAGTACATGGGACTTCGTAACTAGGGTCATACTTAGGGTATATAACTATACTTATAACTACTTATAACCCCACTTAAGGTACTAAAAACCTTACTTACTAAGTCCCATGATCCTTTGAGTAGAACCCTCAATCCAGGTCCAGGATGCTTTGTCATCTCTCCGAGAGAAGCTCAGGGAGGTCCCTCGTGCACCCACCTCCTTTGTTTAGGGCCCTTTTGGGGTCCGTCCCTAGGGGTTTAGGGTCTAGCGTTTAGGGTCGTGGGGGTTTAGGGTTTAGCGCTTAGGGTCCAGGGTTTAGGGTTCAGGTTTCGGATTTAGGGTTTAGGAGGGTTTAGGGTCTTTTGGGATCTATGCCAGCTACACAATGGTCTCTTATTCTGGTGGTCTTAGAGTCATAGAGCTTTAAAGCGGTTCATAAGCGGACTACGAGGGAGTGCAGAGTTCAGGGCTTAGGCCCGGGTATTTAGGTTAGGGTGTAGGGTTTGCCTGGTGTGTGTTTTGGTGGATTGTTGCTCGTTTGAATGTGTTGTTCGTGCTTTTTTGGGCACAGAATTCCTGACCTTTTGGGGTTTGGGTGTTGCGTTGAGGTATCCCGACGTTTTGGGATTTCCAGCGTATTCATTACAAAGTCCCGATACCGAGAGGCGTGACAAGTGAAAAACCCCGAAAGCCCTGTACGCCTTAAGCTAGGGTTTGGAGGTTAGCCTTGGTTTTAAGGCTTTAAGGTTTTTTTAAACCCTGAGTCGTGAATCCAAATACCCGAGAACTGCATGAGAAACAGCTCTGGTCTCATTCGGGAGCCCTCCGTGGTGAAATCCAGGTTTGTCAGCCTCGTTTTAGGGTTGAGGGTTTGGGGTTTGGGGTTTAGCGTGGTTTAGAGTTTGAGGGTTTAAGGTAGTATGAGAGTTGAAAAACTACGCGAATCCACGGCCCTTATCGCAAGCTTCAGAGCTTAGATACTTCGTCCCTAAACCCAAAACGCTAAAGCCTGACTCCCAAACCTTAGACCCTACATGGGTAGTTGTCAAAGTTAGGGTCACTGTTTGGGTACCCCAAAGATTAGGTGCCGTATTATGTTAAGGACCCCAGAAGTTACCCCAACTATAACCGTAGTTACTAAGTCCCATGATCCTTTGAGTACTCATAAACCCTAAACCTTATAGATTCCATTATAGATCCCTTTAGAGGAACCCTAAGGAGCCAACCACCCACATGCCCGACCCCTTCATCCTTGAACCCAGCTGATGCCCAGATGCCAACATGGGGGTTTCCACGAATCGGGGACCCCAGTATAGGGTCTAGGTTCCCTAAACCCTAAACCCTAAACCCTAAACCCTAGTATAGGGTTTAGGGTTTAGTATAGTACCCTAAAGGCTCGGATCCTGATTATGAAACTCCCACACTGTTTGCTACAAAAAAGGAGCCCCTAAAGCAACCCTGCTTGGAGGATCATGGGACTTAGGAACAAGGGTTATAATTAGACTAACTATACGTATAACTACCTATAACCCCAATTAGGGTACTTATAACCTTACTTACTAAGTCCCATGATCCTCCAAGTAGACCCTAAAACCTTATAGATCCCATTAGAGGAACCCTTATAGACCTTTTGAAAAAACCCTAAACCCTAGGGCTCACCTTACTTACTAAGTCCCATGATCCTCCAAGTGGACCCTAAGCCCTTATAGATGCCGTTATAGGAACCCTTAAAGGAACCCTAAACCCTAAGGCTCACTTACTAAGCCCCATGATCCTCCAAGTGGAAGGAACCCGAAACTCGCCAGGCTCGAGCGGCCGCCTGCGTGGAGCCGGCGGCGGCCCAGCGAGCCGCGACGCTCGAAGCCTTGTTGGCTCAGGAGGCCATGTGCCTTTAGTAAGGATGACTATAAGGGCTTTAGGATTGAGGGTTTGAGGGTTTAAGGTTTTAGGGTACAGGGTTTGGGTTTTTAGTGTTTAGGGTTAAGGGTTCCTTTCAGGGTGCAGAGTTCCCAGGGCTGAGGGTTTAGATGGGAGATGGGTTCAGGGTTTAGCTGGCTTGGGTACGTGAATATTCATAATATAATATAGATATATTATAAGACCTCAATAGTAGCCCTATTATAGACTCTTACTGTAAGGGGGCAGTACCTGAGTTTAATTAGGCTTTCTTTCCACATTTGGATGCTGCAGCCTGGTCCAAGCCCCAAGTCCAAAGACCCTCAACCTTCAACCCAAAGGCAGAATCCTTCCGGGATCAGCGAGATCCTTATGTCTACTGCAGACCCTTTGAACTTAAACCAGCCTTGTCCTTTTTCATGGTTCCCCCTAAAGAATAAACAGACCGGCTAGTAGACCTTCTTTAATAATTCCTGGATACAGGTATAGGGCGCTGTCTATTGTTTCTATCAGGACAAGGGTGACTTAAACCATAGCCTAAACGCGAAGAGACCACACTGGAATTGGATATCCGACAAGGAGCCCCGATTAGCACAGATCTTCGATGAGAAGCGTCAGCGGTCCGGAAACCTGGTGTCTACAGCGGGTGTTTCAGACCTTGTTTTTTCTTCGGGAGGGGGGAAGATGAGTTAAGGTTTGTAGAGGCATTCTCCTAATATGTATGTAAACGTGCTCATTGTAGGCATTGACACGCGCTCGCATCATTAATTATATGCCTGCAAATATGTTGGAGCCATGAAAGTATCTGTTCTCCAGACACATGCATGGCTGGACATATGTACGAGTCTTAGTGTCTGTGAGATTGTGTGTGTGTGCGTGCTTTTGTTGTGTGTGTGTGTGTGCGCATGCATGCGCGGCTTTGCGCGCAACTCTGTGTGTGCAACAGGACCGAAATATCGATAGCAGCAGGATGTCTGTAAGAATAAAGTCTTGCGCAAGCACTGCTACATAGTACATCTAAATCTAAATATTTTTAGAAATAGCGGTCATATTGGCAGTGGCGATGAGGAAGTTGAAGCATTTGCCCAAGCACATGGCGATGTTGTTGTTCATGTGCGTGTTTGAACAATGTTAACCGTGTCCAAACCCATCGCGAGCATCTTTTCGCTTACCATAGTGCTACAGTATTACCGTATCTTAGTATGAGTCACCGTGGCTGCATTCCTGTTCAAGGCACTCCTATGTAACTTATTCAGAGCAGGACGTGGCACATCGGATTCTTTTCTGCGATGGTCTGAACAGGGTTGCGGATTTAGCTGTAGAATTGGGGCCGTGGTATGTGTCTTGCACGTCTTGGCTCGGATATGATAGAGCGTACCCTGCAGTGTTGTGGCCGGACGACACCATGGTGCGCGCCCCTCGGATTTCAAAGGCCCTTGATTGCTCATACCGGTTTGTTGTCCATCGGACTGCACTGACGGTGGTTCTGCACTTTAGTGTTCATTACACGTTCAAACAGCTCATCCCCTGGTCTGCACCCACGATTTGTCGATCATCTCCGCTTGGATTGAAGCCCTCAGCGGCCCGTGATTTACTATTTAGGGTACTATGTTAGGGTCCCCTATTTTGGGAAACTCCCGAATCAACAGGACAGAGAGAACAGCTTTGAAAATGGATTACCTGGACCCCAAAAGTATGTAGAATAATAGCTTTTTATAGGTTTTGGGCCATTATTTTACCTACCTTTGGGGGTTTAGGTAAGGATCTGCGAATGAGTTTTATGGAATTGCCCGTCTGAGTGAGCCTAAGAGAGGCTTCCGGCGCTCCAGAGGCCCCACAAACCCAGAGAGCCCAATACCCCTTAATTAAGGAATATGGCTTAAATTATATAGGGCTTCATATTATGATTCAAGCTATATTCCTTATTTAAGGGGTATTGGGCTCTCTGGGAACCGGATTTCCTAAGCCTTAAACCTGGGATGGCACCAGCTATGACTTTGGGTTTTGATACAGGGGCTTACATAGGGAAGCAGCTGCACTAGCAAGAAGCTTAGACGTACAGCTGAAACTATGATACAAGCCGGTGTGGACACTTCTCGTTCTGGCTTTGATTCACAACTACGTAATCTCCTCACGACCCCCAAAACCCCAAACCCCAAACTGCACGCCCTATCGCAAGTATCCGAAGTCCCAAGAGTCTCTCATCGGTTTCCGGCAGGATGTAGGATCCACATGATTCTCGCAGTACATGACTGTTCTTCCAGTTTGCCAGTTTGTCTAGTATGGCTTTGGGTGCTAGGGCTGATATTGAAGCCATACCTGTATGAACAGGATGATGATCACTTCTGGTACACTCATCTACAATCATGAAGGTTTGACCCGTCGATTTTTTATTCTGCTACGTAGTCCAGCTGTTTTCCTGCACTGGTGCTCATGACTCATCAGTGTAATCGTAGCTCTGCACGAACTCCCTCTCAGGTAATCTCACTGGCCGGCGAACACTTGTACAGCTTCGAGCCATCGGAATTTCAAAATGTTTCGGAGTTGGCCGCGCGCGTGGCCACCATTATGCAGGCCGGTTTTTATGCTAAAGCCGTAAAAACTCTACCGCTCTAACGGACGCCCCTTGCAGCTGAAGCACATGGTCCTAGTTGTGAAATACCCATCATAAGAATAAGTGTTCTCAACAAAAAATAATATAACGATCATGCCAACATGTCTAAAACACAGCGTTTAGGCTTTAGGGGTTTAGGGGTTTAGGTTTAGAAGGGACCGCAACCCCTCTAACCCTAAAGGGCATCTATAACACCCACATCCCCAAAATCCGCCAAGACGTACTATCGGAAATGTACCCAAAGCTCAAAGGCCCCCGCGGAAGGTGATGCTAAACATTGCGAAACCCTCGATCTTACGGCTGATGGACAAAATCCTGCACTACCCATTATAAGGAATATACCATAGTTCCCATAGTTTAGAGTCATTAGGGTCATGCAGGATTTTGTCCATCAGCAGTACAGCTCAATCCCTGAACCCTACTGTGAACCGATTGTTAGAGTCTTGGACCGTGAAGCCTATTACAAGGGGACCATAATTTTAAGGTGCCAAACTGTAGCCTTGCGACGGCTGCGGGCGAGAAGCTCTCGCCGCATGCGGCACTGGACACCCTGGGCGAGGATGGGAGATGTGGGTCCTTCTTTTGGGTTTCAAACTGAAGGGAACTCCAGAAAGTTGGAATATGGATTAATGGTAGGATCCCCTATAATTTACCTTAAAGGGGTTACGATAATGATATTCCAAATTTCTGGCTTCTACTGTAGGGTGTCTTACATGTGTTGGCTTGTGCTTAGAGGTTTAGGGTTTAGGGTCTCATTTCGCGTTTTGGGCCGTTTAAGGTTCAGTTTCGGGATCTGGGGTTCGACTGCAGGGTTCAGGTCGGTTTAGGGTTCAGAACTTCGGGCTTAGGTTTAGGGTTTAGAACTTCAGGCTTAGGTTTAGGGTTTAGAATTTCGGGCTTAGGTTTAGGATTTAATTTAGAGTCTACAGAGAGTTTCGGGTTTCGGGTTCAGGTTTCGGGTCTAGAGAATGTATTTTATGGCTTTTTAGGGATCACTGTTGAACACATAAGTCCATGGAACGTTCGCAGTCCCCGTTAGAACATAGATACAGAGGTAGGTGGATAGCTGGGTAGCTACATAGCTAGATGGCGGGATAGCTAGATGCCTAGACAGGTAGATAGGTAGGTTGATAGGTCGATAGACAGATGGATAGATAGATAGACCTTAATTACCCTATGACACCTGGAGCCCTCCCTAAGCCCGAAACCCTAAAACCTAAACCCCTAAACCCCTACACCTGAACCCCTAAACCCTAACCCCTAAACCCTTAAGCGGGGCAAGAGAGGAAGAGCTGACGGCAGTGGTGATGCTGGACCCCCTGCTGCTTGACCTGTTGGGTTTGGGTTTAGGGTATAGTGTTTATGATGGAAGTTATTGAGCAACTTCGTATTCCAGGGCTTTCATGTTGCTCTCAACCATAGAGCAATTAAAAAAGGCATACATACACACCTACATACGTACATAGGCAGTTACATACATACATACATACATACGTACGTATATACACACACATACACACATACACACATACATACATGCCCATATACATACATACATACATACATACATACATACATACATACATACATACATACACACTTACTGACTTACTCACATACATACATGTGATACTACTAGCTCTGCGTATATACTTTCATGTTTGTAGGCATACACCTATGATCTTCGTAGGTATGCCTTGTAGGTTTTTGTGTGTTTGTGACGGGGTCTCGGCGGTTCAGACTTGTGGTTTTCGGCAGTGTGCGCTCAGTTTGTTTGTGTAGTTTAGGCTTAGGGTTTAGGGTTTAGGGGTTTAGGGTTTAGGGTTTGCGGTGTTGTGTTCGTGAGGATTTGAAAATTTGATGAGTGCGAAGTGCGGGCTGATCCCTCGGAGAGTTTCCCGGAGAGCCCAAGGGGCCCCTTAATTAAGGAATACCTAGGGTTCCTTTAAGGGATCTATAGGCTTAGGGTTTAGGGGATTCTAATACCCCTTTATTAAGGAATATACCTTAAATCATTAGGGGCTTCATATTATGATTTAAGCTATATTCCTTACTTAAGGGGTATTGGGCTCTCTGGGTTTGTCTTGTGTGTACTTCAAGGATCAGGGGACTCAGTAATTTAGATATGGTTTCTTCAAGGGCTCTAGAAGGCACACATAGGGGTTCTGCAAGGGGTGTTTAGCGCTACTGAAACCAGGATGGGACTTTGCAACTAGGGTTGTAGTCAGGTACCCAAACTTGGATTGCTTCTACACCCAAACATGGTACTTACAACCAAATTTGGAGATTGGCTTCTAAGCCCGATCAAGGTACTTATAACTTCGCTCACTCAGTCCCACGATCCTCCAACTAGGGTTTGGGGCATTTACAATCAAAGATGTTTAGGGCGAGTTGCTCTGGCTTTGGTACTTGGAGGTTCGTGGGTAATTAAGAGGGTAGTTGTTAGCCCCCCTTGTGGGCCTATATTATTGTACTTTGAATCATGAGGTTTGTCATGCTTCAGCTGCAGAAGCCGGATGGAACGCTCCTATGGCCCAACCTGGGCGAGCTGCAACTTGACGGAGGGTTTGCAGTCGTTCGGCTTAGGTTGGTTCCTGCAAAGTGGCAACCCATTGCGTCATTGACGAATAATACCGGAGCCTCAGGAATTACCTATACTATTGGGTTCCTTGTCATGATTTTTTTAGAGTTGCCCCCGAAACGCTACTCTAATTATGAAGGCCCCTATATTACAGTGGTCATTCCTCTGTACTCGAACACTATGTTTTCTGCAAGGTTCGTATTCAATCTAAAGTACAATATACCGTTCTAGTGATAAAGGACCCGGCAGCACGCTGTTCCACCTGCGGTGTTCCTGTTTCTTGCTTGAGATCGTTCTTGGAGGATCATTGGACATACTAGCTAGCGTTATACTTCAGGTTCCTATACTTGTCATCATTGATAACCCCAGTTAAGATACTTATGCCCTTGCTTAATTACTAAGTCCCACGATCCCTGGCTCCTGCTCGACAACTGCATCTCAATAGTCCCGAAACGGCACATAGGCTAAGAGTAGAGCTACCTAGTACTAGAGAAATTAGGTAACCTTTAACTTTTTTGGGTACTGTAAACCCCTATTTAATCCCAATATGCTGTCAAAGGTTAATCTTTAGCTCCCCAGGATACGACAAGTAGGGCTAAAGTTGTGGTATCCCTGTCAGAATGCTATGAGTTCTCAGTTATGACACTGCTTACAATCCTACTGAAAATCTATTATTCGGGCCTTAGCAATTACCTATACTATTTCGGTGGTTCCTTACGATAATTATGGTATACTGGGCCCCAGAAGCCTAGTCTAATCATTAAGGCCCCTATGTTGCTTGAAAAGTCCCCTCAGCTTCCAAATGTTTGATGCCTCAAGTTTGTATGCGTCGCGTCAGTCACCCAGAGACTCCAGTATCCCTTATTTAAGGAGGTTATCTTCGACTATAGTAAGATCCCTAATAGCCCTGATATGTTTTTAAGGAATATTCCTTAATTGAGGGGTTTTGGAGTCTTTGGGTCAGTCAGGCATGCAGCTGCAGAGGCTGCTGAGGAGCAACTGATTCGGTGCGCCTGTGGTATCGGCGCTCCTGGACATTTGTGTGGTATGCCTTGCCTTCCCTGGGCGGACAAGACGGTGCCTGCCCCTCCAATGTTCCTTAAGGATCCGCGCGAGCATAGGACCTTCATGGTCAGTGCACCGACCTTTATTTTCGGTGACAGTGAGGAGAAGTCTAGCGGCTGCCCTATGCAAGATGACACTCCTGTGATCCATGCTGGCGCTCGCGTAATCGTCTACGGTGAAAAGCACATTCACGGGAAGCAGGAGAGAAGGGTTATCGACGTGGGAGATGCCCCTATGACCCTCAAAGATCTGCAGGCTCTTTGCAACGACAGGCCAGACCTTGACGAAAAGAAAGCGGAGGTGGCACACATCGACGGAGAAGTCATCCATGCGACCATCAAACTGAGGTCGTATTCTCGAGATGAGATTGCCTTTCAGCTTGAGCATTCAAGGTACAACTTTGACGATCTGTGACAAGGCTCTGTGCCGCTATCCACCAAAGGCTCAACCATCCATCAATTCAGGAATGCTGCCCAAATGACGGCCCGCATCCACGGCCCTATGCCCATACAGTAAGCCCTAAAACCTAAACCGCCTAAACGACACCAGGTCTCGTTCAGCATGGATCTGCCCTGAACCCTAAGCCCACACTTAGCCAAGCAATATGTCCAACCTCATCCAGCCTTCTACAACACAACCCAACGTCGAAGCCCTAAACCCTAAAGCGCAAAGGCGCGCGTGCGGGGGAGATTTAACTTCTGGGCGAGAGGGGAGGAGAAGGCCCTGATCTACAAGCCGCATACCTAGACCACCCGATTTAGGTAAAATAGTGGCCCAAAACTTATAAAAGGTTGTTATTCTGCATACTTTTGGGGTCCAGGTAGTTGCCTTGTGGTAGAGTAATTAGGTAACCTTTAACTTTTTGGGGGACTATAACCCATACAGAAACCCAATATACTCCCGAAGGTTAACCTCTACTTCCCCGGGGTATGCTATAATAAGGACCCCGAAATGAGCCCTCATGCTACAGTAGGGAACACAAGCCGGTTTAGTGTTTAGCCTGGTGTCCGTAGTGATGGACGAAAGAGTCTTGACTTTTCCGGGTCGGCAGTACAGAACGCGCGACCTCGGGGAAAAGTCCTAAGCCAACGGGCCTTGAGGGCAGATGCTCTTCCGTAACTGACCCTGGAGCTGAAACTCCACGGTAACTAATTATATATATATATATATATATATATATAATACAGGGAGAGAGAGAGAGAGAGAGAGAGAGAGAGGCCTGAAAGTGTTGATGCCACTATGATGCCAGGGCTCCTTGTTACAACTATAGTCGAATATGCACCGAAGCCCTGAACTATCAAGGCGCCTATACGAAACCCTTATATCAACTCTTTAAGTCATAGGGATCCTTAGGGGTGTAGGGGGAGGGGGGGTAGGGGGCCTTAAGGCCCATAATAAGGACTAATAAGGCCTATTTAAGGAAATATAGTCCCCTACACCCCTCCCCCCTACACCCCTAAGGATCCCTATGATTAAGAGGAACCCTATAAAGGAGCCCCTTCCTAGCTGTTAAGACACCTATCGTATGCAACTGTCACGGAGTCCAATGGAGTCTTGAAGTTTCAAGGCTCTCATGGCAGCACTTGTATAGCTGCAGCGCTTTCGAGCTTAGAAGTTCGGGTTTGGGATGTCGGTTGAGGCTTTAGGGAGATGACTTGAGGAGCAGGGTTTAGGCTGTTGGCATGGAGTGTTTAAGACTTACCTAGAGGCTCATACCTACCCCTTTTTTGGGATACCAAGTTTTATGGCTAGGATCTGTGATCTTAAAACGCAGGCGCCCTAAAAAAGGGGTAGGGCATCAGCCTCTAGGTAAGATGTAGGGTTAGAGAGTATGCCAGCCTTGTACTACGGACCCTGGCATCTATCCTGTTCGTAACATTCCCTGTACCGTATACCCTCTTACATCATCTCCTAAAACGTCTTAGTATCAGATGTACGTGCAAATGCTTGCTAACAGGAACAGGAGCGGGTCTCAAACACCTTCCGCCTTCGAGGCATTCGCTTCGTCTGCTGTTTATTGTTGGTCCTGCGGTTGATGATATAAATCCTGCATTACCCATAATAAGGAATATACCATAATTCCCATAGTTTAGGGTCCTTAAGGTAATGCAGGATTTATATCATCAACAGTACCCTGAAGCGCCTCTGTACTTAAGAGTTGTCAGGCTTACATATTAGGCGTTGGTTGTGGTATAGCTACACAGGGACTGTCAGGGAATCTTGTTCTAACGTGAGGTATTGGAGGGTGTATGGAGGTTTGCAGGTATTCGGCTACCGTCGAAGACATGCTATATTGCGGCTATCGCGTGTATCCTTTGGAGGCTTGTCCTTACAAATGCAGAACAGGTCATCTCACGGTAGCGGCTTGAAGTATAGGCCTCAAGAGTATCTTTGCAGGCCCCCTGCAGCCTAATGAAACCCTGAACCCCTAAATCCCCAAACCCCTAAACTCCTGGACCAAAAGCCCTGAACCCCTAAACCCCTGAACCCTAAAACCATTTGAAACCTTGAACCCTCAACAACAAAAGGCGTAAGCTTAAGCTAAAAAACGATTTGGGAGTTATCGTTTGATATAGAGCCCTAATTATGAATGAGTTCGGGGACTGTTGACATCGACACCCAGGAAGAAATCTCCAAATCCCCTCAAACCCCTAAAGCCTGAACCCCTGTACCAAAATCCCTGAACCCTCAAGAACAAAAGGCTCAAGCCTAAGCCTAAACCCTACTTGGAGGGGCAGGGGACTTAGTAAGTAGGATATAAGTAGAGTTATAAGTACCCTATACCCCAATTATAGCCCTACTTATAAACGGCTTACTAAGTCCCCTGCCCCGCCAAATAAGCGCTAAACCCTCTTGGCTTGAAGCTCAGTGCTCCGCCTCAACCCTTACCGAACAGCAGGCAAGCGGAAGTCAGAACTTAGGGCATAAACCAGGGCTATAGGGTTTACGGTTTAGGGTTGGGGACTTAGGGCTTGGGGTGTTTTAGTTTGCAGTTCAGCTCACAGCCTCTGGAAGGGGCCTGGGGATTCCTCTGTCATGCGCCTTTTGGCTCAGACTTGACAAACCCTTAGGGTCCATGAACCCAAATAGTATATACTTCGGGCCCAATGTACCGAAAAGGGGACTACATTAAGGCCAATGTATATATTGTTTGGGTACTTTGACCCTGAGGGCAAGCGCACCGTGTAGTGTTGCGTGCACGGACGACACCATGGTGCGCGCACCTTGGTCTGTAAAAGACCTCTTAACTCTTAATTTTTTTGTCTTCTAATGCAAGGGCAGCTGCTAACGCCGGTTCGTTCCACTTGGGACTGCAGCGAAAAGTTCTGCACACTTCTTTTCGTCGTGGGTCTAAAGCGGCTCAGTACGGTTCATGAAGCTCATCTCATACATGCACTGACGATGGCTCCGGAATAGAGCAGTATACAACGAATAATATGTAGTACATAGCCATCTACAAGATGGATTGTATGTACTCATAACTAGTACATGACATTCGTTGTTCGTGGATCATCACCACGTGGGTTGAAGCCCTCAGTGACTGACTTACTTGCGCACCAGGTCTGTACCAGGATGAAGAGGGTTAGGGGTTTAGGGTCCTTGCGCGTCTTCATGCAAGTCAGCGGGATATAGGCCAGCTTCGATCATCTTTCGAGTCAATGATGCCGCGAACGTTTTTGTCTGGAATTTCCTGTCTGAGTTGGCGTTATATATGTTATATTGTATCGTTAAAGTGGCAGGATCGGATTCCTCCACCCGAAAGCCTATCTCCTACTATGTAGGCCTCAACCCCTAACCCCGAAGCCAAGAAGTCCAGCAGCCATGAGTTTGATGTTACCGAGACCCCCCCCAAAAGTAGGCAAAATCATGGCCCCAAACCTATAAAGGTCTATTATTCTACATACTTTTGGGGTCCAGGTATGGGTTTTCACAGGGATGCAGGGGCATTGGTAAGCATTGGATACTGCCCCCACTCAGTAGCAGTTGGATAATATGCATAATATAGATATATTAGGCCCTTAATAGTAGCCCTGTTATAGACTGTTAGTGTATGGGTTATGGGGGCAGTATCCAAGGTAAGCAGCATAGAAGGACTGCCGGAACATGACATAGGCCGGTCTGGGCACGTGTCGCAATTGCTCCGCCCATAGCTCCCTACACTCTACAGTAGAAGCCCAAAAGTTGGAAACCCCATAGCCTCAATCCTTAAGAGTAATGTATAGGGAATCCCAGCACTATTTGGCCTTAATCCGGTTTCCAACTTTATGGAGTTTACTCTAAACCCCAAACGCCAAGCCCTCTATTCAATCCACATGGTTCGCGGCAACTCACATGATTTCCCCCCCCCCCTGGTAGCTTTGGGTCTTGAGGCTGTTTTTTCGCATACCTGAACGGAAACGATGGTCATTTCTGTGACGTTCATTTTCAGAGACGAGCTTTTGTCCTGTCGACCATTTCTTCTGCTAGCACGCTGTTGCCTCATCAGTTTCATTGTACTTCGCTACTTGGAGGGGCAGGGGACTTAGTAAGTCGTTTATAAGTAGGGTTATAGTTGGGGTAACTCCGTTTAGGCTACTTATAACTCTACTTATATCCTACTTACTAAGTCCCCTGCCCCTCCAAGTACTCTAAAAAACCTTATACCCTTTTAGAATCCCTATAGATCCCTTTAAAGGGGCCCTTAAGGAACCCAGGTAATCTCAATGTCCGGCGAACACTTGTGCAGCTTCGAGCCCTCGGAGTTTCAGAGTGTTCTGGAGTTGGCCACGCACGTGGCCACCATCATGCAGGCCGGTTAGGGTTTAGGGTTTAGGGTTTAGGGTTTAGGGTTATCACATGCAGGCCGGTTTGGGAGCCCCTAACTTCCCCCGTTCTACTATGACAGATAAGGACCCCTGATAGATCCCTTTATAGGATCCCTTATAGGAGCCCCTTAAAGGAGCCCTAAGCCCTGCAGGCCGGTCCCAGAGAGCCCAATACCCCTTAACTAAGGAATATGGCTTAAATTATATAGGGCGTCATATTATGATTTAAGCTATATTCCTTAATTAAGGAGTATTGGGCTCTCTGGGGTTTGGGCGCCCCAGCCACCCAAGTAAAGTTGAAGGTGTTGAGAGTTTAAACTTTAAACCCTAAACCCTAAACCCCAAAACTCTAAACCCTAAACCCCAAAACTCTAAACCCTAAACCCTAAAACCCTAAACCCTAAACCCTAAAGTTTAGGGCTTAGGGCTTCCTGGATTTAGGGGCTCTAGGGTTCAATTAAGGGGTCTCTAGGGTTTAAAGGTTAAAGAGGCTTATAGGGTTTAGGGTTTTAGGGTTTAGGGTTTAGGACCTTATAAAAAGGCCAATTATAATAGGGCTTAAAGGGTTTTAGGGAGGCCCAAAGCCATGCCCGCGGACGGTGAATTGAAACCTGAAGGGTGTCACTTTCAGAACCTTACAGAAGACCGTCGTTACTACCTAAACCCTAAACCCTAAACTCCAAGCCCTCAACCCTAAGCCCTATAAGCCCTGAGCCCTAAACGAAAAAACCCTAACCTAGGGTTTAGCGCGAAACCAGCAGGCGCCAATCTGCAGCCTCGCAACTGCAGCGGGCGAGAAGCTGTTGCCGCATGCGGCACTCGACATCGCGGGCGAGGACGGGAGACGTTGGCGTTTGGGTTTAAGGATTCCTTTAAAGGGCTGCTATAAGGGTTTAGAGTTTCCGAAAATTCGGGGTACCTTACTTCGGGGTCTGTATGATAATTAAGAGTACTGCTATTTAGGGTACTATATTGGGTTCCCTATTTTTGGACACCACCATATGGATGATTCTCTGCAGGGTCTAGGGCGTTTTAGAGTTCAAAGGTTTTAGGGTTCACTGCCTTTTGGGGTGTAGAGTTCTGTAGAGTAAGTTTAGGGTTTTTTAGATTTCAGGTTGTAAGTCTTGAGGGATTTAAAGTTAAGTTGCAATACTACTTCGGGGCTTGCGGTCATGGTTTCGGGACGTACAGAGATTGAAGTGATACGGCCACCTGCGCCAAACCCTGAAAGCTTGTACTATAAGCCAACACCACGCCTCAGAACCTCAATGTCCTGGAAACCTCCAAGAACCTCAAAGCTCACACCCTAAACCCCAAACCCTAAGCCTTAATCCCTAAACCCTGCACCCTAGCCCTAAAGTCGATTCTAAAGCTCCGGCCCCGAGCCCGTCCCGATGCTCTTGGCTGTTAGGAGTTTAGGTTTCAGGGTGTAGGCCATTAGGACTTTAGGGTGAAGGGTTAGGTTTAGGATATGTTTTTGTTGAGGGGGGGGTAGGGTTTCAGAGTTTCGGGTTAAGGGTTGACAACGCCTCTCATGCAAGGGGGTGGTTCAGTGCTCTGATTCCCTGTAAGGTACCGGAACTTGAACCTCAAAAACCCTACCAACACGGTGATCTTGAGTCAAGGGTTTAGGGTTTGGGGCTACGGCTAGTGTGAAACAACCCCCATGGTAGTTTTCGACACCTCGTTTGTGGTCCCTAGGAGACATGCTAACGAACCTTCGGGTACTGAGTATCTACCAGGCCGCTTCGGAACACTCAGAAAGAAGAACCCCCAAGGCCATGCAAGAACTTTCGTGCTCTTGTTGGATGATAGAGATGCATCTGTCTAGATATGTAGATATATAGTAACCCTAAACCCTAAGCCCAAAAATCCCTAAACCTTCCAACCTGAACCCTACACCCTAAACCGTAAACCTTAAACCCTTAACCCCTAAACCCTAAACCCTAAACCCTGCACCCATGACCCAGACGGCAAGACAGGAACAGCTCACGGCTGTGGCGATGCTGGATCCCCTGCTACTTGACCTGTTGGACGTGGTTATAGGGCTTTAGGGGTCTAGGGTTTAGGGGTTTAGGATTTAGGGTTGTAGGGCTTTAGGGTTTAGGGGTTTAGGGTTTAGGGTTTTGGATGTGGGGGGGGGGGGGGGGGGGGGGTAGAGGTTTTACGTAGGGTTTTGGAGCTTCAATGTCGTAGGTCGGGTTTTGGGTTCAGGCTGTAGGGATGTTTGGGGTTTTGAGTTTGGGTGCGGGAAAGTTGTGAGCTGGCTCTTATTAGATGATGTTTATGTTGCCCTGAGAGTCCTAAACCTTACACACCACACGCAGGCAGATATATGTACGTATAAGGTACACATACGGCGAGAGAGTGTGAGAGAGAGAGAGATACACATATTCTCTATACATTGTATGTACAGTAGTACTGCTTCGTATGCGTGTGTGACTTTCGCCACTTTATACAACATACTGCAGAAAGATGTGCGCAACCGGATGTTGATGGCGATGGTGTTGCGGATGATGATGATGACGATGATGATGATGATGATCACTACAACAAGAAACGATAATGGCTAAGTCAAGTGCCACAATAGCTCCCGGCAGGGTCTACAAACCTGCTTTTTGGAAAGTCGCGCTGAAACCTCGATATTCTACACTTAGAAAATGCAAAGTAACACGGCACCCTATGCCTCCGCACCCTAGCAACCCTATCATTAATCCTCTGACAAAGCCCTATATACTCGCTTTGCTAAGGCCCCTCCAGTACTATGCTACATTGCTATGAATCATGAGGTTGGTCATGCTTCAGCTGCAGAAGCCAGATGGAACGCTTCTGTGGCCAAACCTGGATGACCTGCAACTTGACAGAGGATGTAGAGTTTAGTTTAGGCGTTGGTGATGAGGGGCTTAGGGTTCGGGGTTTCGTGTGCATCGTGTCTGTGAGGCATGCAGCTGCGGCGGCTGCTGAGGAGAAGCTGATTCGGTGCGCCTGTGGTATTGGCGCTCCTGGACATTTGTGTGGTATGCCTTGGCTTCGCTGGACGGACAAGACGGTGCCTGCCCCTCCAACTTTCCTCAAAGATGTGCGCAAGCATGGTTGTCATCGCGGCTGCCCAGTGGGCCATCACACTCCTGTGATCCATGCTGGTACTCGTGTAGTGCTCTATGGCGAGGAGCATTCTGGCGAGAAGCAGGAAACAAGGATTATCGACGTCGGAGATGCCCCTATGACCGTCAAAGATCTGCAAGTTCTTTGCAAAAACAGGCCAGACCTTGACAAGAAGAAAGCGGAGGTGGCACACATTGACGGAGAAGTCATCCATGCGACCATCAAACTGGTGTCGTATACTCGCCATGAGATTGCTTTTCAGCTGGGTCATGAAAGGTACAACATGGACGATATGTGACGAAGCTATGAGACACTAGGCCTCCTTAAGCGCGTTTCCCCCAAACCCCAAGCCCATATTAAACCAAGCGGCTTACCAAATCCCATCAACCCCTCCACAAAACACCGTAAGACCCAGCATCGAAGCCCGTCAAGCACTGTGTGCAGAAGAGGACCCAGTAACCCCAAACCGTAAACCCTGGCGAGAAGTAGAAGCCTCAAGAAGGGCACACCCCTAGTATGGGCCCTTAACCTTGGGATCCCCAAATTCCTACTATATACCCACCCTGTATAGACCCTTAAGAGTCCCTAGAACCCCTTCAAACAGGCCTAAGGGCCCATACTAGGGGCCCATGGTTTCAACCCTTGACTCTAGGTGTTTTGGAGGCCCTAAACTCCCAAAACCCTAAACCCTAAACCCTATAGATCCCTTATAGAACCCCTATAGATCCCTTTAAAGGAACCCTAAACCCCTGAACCCTAAACCCCTAAAACCCTAAACCGTCCAATATGGGCTGAGGAAGCTGTCAGACTCTGTCATGCAGACTCAAAAAGTCCTTCAAAAAAAACTAAACCCTAAACCCTAAACCCCTAAACCCCTAAACCCTAAACCCTAGAAAAAAAAACCTAAACCGTGCCTTAAGACCCCAACCATGAGAACGGGAGGCTCAAAGCTTCAAGCCCTATCCTACAGTTGAAAAATGACGAAAGCCACAGCTCCGGCGTTTGAAAGCTTAGGGTTTAGGGTTTAGGGTTTAGGGTTTAGGGGTTTAGGGGTTTAGGGTTTAGGGGTTTAGGGTTTAGGGTTTAGGGGTTTAGGGTTTAGGGTTTAGGGTTTAGGGTTTAGGGGTTTAGGGTTTAGGGTTTAGGGGTTTAGGGTTTAGGGTTTAGGGGTTTAGGGTTTAGGGTTTAGGGGTTTAGGGTTTAGGGTTTAGGGTTTAGGGGTTTAGGGTTTAGGGTTTTAGATGAGTTGCATCCCTTCGTGAGGACTTTAGTAGCCCCGTTGGGTTTAACTTGTCTTTGGAAGCTTCAGCTTGGGGTTCATATTAGGCTTTTTGGTTTGGGCCAGACGAAGGTTGTACAAGGTTCGGAAGGGTTGTGTTGAGTATGTTGCTAGTTAAAAGAACTGGGTTTAGGGTTTAGGGTCTGGGGCCTCTTATCTCTGTTCGGATCTTTGAAAGAATACTGTGCTGCAGTGCTATCCTGATTCTGGAGAACGGAACCCGGCTTTAGGGTGTTGGCCTGTGTTTGCAGTGATTACCCTAAACCCTAGACCCTAAACCAACCTTGAGACGGACAGGAAAACAGGCGTTTAAAGAAAAAACAACGAACCCTCAACCCCTAAACACTAAACCCTAAACCCCTATAGATCCCATTATAGGAACCCTTATAGATCCCTTTAAAGGAACCCTAAACCCTCAATTCCTAAACACTGAACCCTAAACCCCTAAACCCTATACCCCTAATCTGATGCGCGAGGAAAGAGTCGCACTTGGAGGATCAGGGGACTTAGTAAGTAAGGTGAGGGCTTCGGGTTTAGGGTTCCTTTAAAAGGGATCTATAAGGGTTCCTATAATGGGATCTATAAGGGTTTAGGGTCTACTTGGAGGATCATGGGACATAGTAAGTAAGGTTAAAGTACCCTAATTGGGGTTATAAGTAGTTATAAGTGTAGTTACCTTAATGAGAACCCTAGTTACTAAGTCCCATGATCCTTTAAGTTGACTTCGTAACCCCCTAAACCCCTACATAAACCCTAAACCCTAAACCGGATGAGCCAGGTAAGAGTCAAAGAGGCTTGACTTTTTCCGGGTCGGCAGTACAGAGCGCACGACCTCGGGGAAAAAGTCCTGAGCCAAAGGGCTTTGAGGACAGATGCCCTTCTACACTCCAAGGGTAAAAGGAGGGCCCCTTAATGGGGACCCCTAGGTATATACCCTTAATATACCCTTAATACAGCTGTTATATACCCGTTATATAGCCCATTATAGAGTAGGGGTCCCCATTAAGGGTCCCTCCTTTTCCCCTTCTATACATCCGACCCTGGAGCTGGACTCCCACGGTGATCTAGAGGCCTTAGGAGGTACCAACATGATTCCTTATTTATCCGTAATGCAACTATAAGGGAATCTATCCCGGAACCATATTCTATCCATTTCGGCGAGCCTACGCGAAACCTTTCTAAGTAACCCTTAAGGAACCCTATTCTAGCCATTGAGGCACCTGTACTTAAAGGATCATGGGGCTTAGTAACTAGGGTTATAATTAGGGTAACTATACTTATAACTACTTATAGGCCCAATTAAGGTACTTATAACAGTCCCATGATCCTGCAAGTAGATCCTAAACCCTTATAGATCCATTATAGGAACCCTTATAGATCCCTTTTAAAGGAACCCTAAACCCGAAGCCCTCACCTTACTTACTAAGTCCCATGATCCTGCAAGTAGTGCATGAAAGTTTATCAGCCTGAAGGTTGCAACGGCTGTACTTTAGGCCCTTCCTCCTTTATGTAGGGGCTTTAATAATTACCTATACCATTTTGGGGGGTTCGTTAGTATTATTGTTCTTAATATAATTAGAGTATAATGGGCCCCAAAACCTTATTCTAATTATCGAGGCCCTTATGTTAGGCACTTTTTGCTTACGGTTTAGGGTTTAGGGATTAGGGTCAGCATTCCAGGTAGCATTAGGGAGACAGGGTCTATATCCCCATCTCAACTTCTACAGTATATGGGAGTTTCCGAAAATGAGGGGTACCTTATTTGGAGGTCCTTTTCCTAAGGATCCTACTTTAGGGTACTATATTAGGGTCCCCTATTCTCGGAAACCCCCACATAGGCTAAGACTAGAGCTGCCTAGTGCTAGAGTAACTAGGTATAGTATATGGGGTTTCCCAAACTGAGGGTCCTACTACTTAGGGTACTATACTCGGGTCCCCTATTCTCGGAAACCCCCCACCCTAAACCCTAAACCCCTAATAGAACCCTTATAGTAACCCTTTAAAGGAACCTAACTCCTATTTCGAACCCTTATAGTAACCCTTTAGAGGAACCTAACTCCTATAGTATATAGCATTCGCGTTGTACTTGAGAGGGGGAGGCTCAGGCTTTTGGGCTCTAAGGGTTTTTACCCTAAGGGTCCAGGTATCTCCTTAGGAGGGTCCGGAATCTCCTAGGGAGAGTCCTTGGGTCTAAACCCTAACCCCTAAACCCTAAAACTTAAACCCTAAACCCTAAACCTTAAACCCTAAACCCTAAACCCTAATTTTTGGGGCTCCCCAATTTGTTAGGACCCTTAGGGTAGGGTTTAAGGACTCGGCTTTCAGGATGATGAGAAACAGAAAGTAGCAAGGTCCTGTTATATAGTCATATGTTTAGAGCTTACGGTTTAAATGGTCATATGTTTAGAGTTTAGGGTTTCTAGGGTTTTCCATAGTCATAATGACAAGAAGAAGAAAGAACAACGGTTATAATACTTAATACAACTTGCAAGCCCAATTATTTGTTTGTAAGGCCCATGTCAATGTGCCAGGGCCGCTTCAGGGAAGGACCAAACTATGCAGCAATTGGACGAAGCGAAAGCCTCGAATGCGGAAAGTGTCCGTTCCAGCGCGTTGGGAGCTAACGGTACGGCCAAAATCCTGCATTACCCATTATAAGGAATATACCATAGTTCCCATAGTTTAGAGTTCTTAGGGTCATGCAGGATTTTGTCCATCAGCAGTATAGCAGCTTGTAGGCTTCTAGGGTAATGCAGGGTTTAGGGGGAGGTTGGTTTAGGGTTCAGGGTATTTGGGTTGAAGGCCTGTATCGTGGCAGGCACCCAGTATCACGGTTATCAAGGCTCTTAGACAGGGTCATCTCACAATAGCGGCCTTGAAGTGTTGGCTTAAGGAGGACATGACGTACGTAAAGCGTCCTGGTAGCTCGCCTAAGCCCCTAAACCTTGGACGCTAAGCCCTACTTAAACCGCGAACCCTGAACCCTAAAACCTTAAAGCCTAAAGCCCGAAAGCCCTTAAAACCCTAAGCCCCCTAAACCCCGAACCCCTAAACCCTGAACCTTAACACAACAGAAGGCCCAATCCTAACTGTCCAGGGCCTTAAGATCCGAAACAGAACGGGGTTCCGTTAGGGGTTCCTTTAAGGAGGCTCCTATACCGTAACCTACCAGAGCCTACAACAAAAAGTAGATTCTGGTAGATCAAGATCACAAGTATCCTTCAGCAGCATGGGTTCTCAAAGTAGGGGTTTCTAGATTCTACTGAAGGCTTGAGAAGCGAACAGTATAGCCATGAGGGAGTCTAGTAATAAGGGGGGGTTGAGGGTTTCGGGTTTAGGGGTTTAGAGTTTCGGGTCTGGGGGTTGCGGGTTCAAGAGGTTCAGTGTTTAGGGTGTAGGGGTCTAGGGTTTGGTATTTAGGTTTCGGATTTTGGGTTCGCACCAAAGAACTGGGAGCTACCAAAGCCTAATCTGGGGCCCTATACTACTAAGGGTACTTTATAGGACCCCCCTATTAAGGGATCTACTTCTTGGATCCTCCCGCATGTCTGGTTAAAGACAATGACAGCCAAAGCACTCACATCCGCACTTGTAAGCAAACCCTAAACCCTAAACCCTAAACCGTGGCTCACAGAGTTCGAGGTACGAGTTGGACTTTGCGCGGCTTAAAGAGCTGAAGTACCGCTCTCGGATTTGGGACTGCTTTGTTTAGGGTTTAGGGTTTCGGGTTTAGGGTCTGGGCTAGACTCTCGAAGTGCTATTACTGCCACGCTCTGGAAGCAAATTCAAGGTTTGGCCTTGTCTTGTGAAGGAGGTCACGACTCGTAGGTTTCGGAACTTGGTTTTGTGTCCTCGGGGCTGAACTCTATCGGTCTCAACCCTAAACCTTGAACATGCTGTGTCCTTCGTGTTGGGCCCACCCTGTTCCGGTAAAATCTACGGATGCACTGGGCAATCACGAGAGGGGTTCCCGCACCCGAAGCCCAAGGCAGGTTGCCCACTTTATGCTGCAGTTTTCA